CTGGGGGCCGCTATGGGGTTGTTGGGGGCCGCTATCAGGGTGGTGGGGGCAGTTGCGGGGATGCTATGGGGGTGTTCGGGCCCGCTATGGGGGACATTGGGGGTGTTGGGCCTGTTGGGCCGTGTTGGCCCTATTGGGGGGTCGTTGGGGGCCTGTACGGGGGTGTTGGGGGCCGCTATGGGGGTATTGGGGGCCGCTACGGGGGTGTTGGCACTGTTGGGGGCCTCTATGGGGGTGTTGTAGGTGCGGGTCTTTGCGGGCCCTTTCGGGGATTCGGGCTGGTGGTTGCTGGACGGAGGCTTGGAGCCTCGGACTCCTTGGACCACTACGGGGGCCATCACTGCCTCTCAGAGTCTGAGTCCTGTCACTCTTCGATTATATGGTGCGTGCACTATGCGAAGTGTGCGGCACTCCAAATCCACGCATTGCGGGGAATTTGCGGGGGCTGGTGGTTGGTGGTTCAGGCCCTTGGTGAGATGGGGGGACCATAGTGAAGGGGTCACACAATGGCGGGGGGATGGGGCGGCTGGGGCCCTGGCCTTGGGCCTCAAGGACCAAGGTACTCGTCACGTGCCACATCATGTAAGTTGGAACTTGGAATGGTGTGCGGGGTGTTTCCTGAGTGGTTGTCGGCGACTCGTCGCCGACTCGCCGGCCGCGGCGCCGGGAGACCGACCGTGACGGGGCATGGGTAAGAATTTGAAAAGGAGTTTCACCACTGCGAAATTTGTGGTCCGCGCCCCGGGGTCACGGGCAGTAGTGTGGTTGTGTTTTTCCCTTATGCATTACATCAACCTGTACCTATTTGTCATTTTCAAACTATGCAAATTGTACGAATTAACCACAAAAATAGTGTAACACGTCAATAACAATTTCGAATTTAATAGCGACGAAGACGAGGAACATTGACTTTCAATGTATTTCATGCAATGACATTGAATGTAAAACTGCGGCAAAATTGCCCTTATTCAATATTTTCATTCACATTATCATATCGTGCACAGTGCACACTGCATAGTACTGCATACCAAAGCACATAACAAATCTGTGTGAAACTCCGAATCCACTAGGCACCTAATAATGGCCGAAAACACAAATGTCAATGCTCCCCAGCAGGGCGAGCAACATGACACAGCAATAAGGCAATTAGTGTCGATCACCTCATCATGAAGGTATACCTCACGCGTTAATCCGATATCCCCCAAGCTGCACCAAAGAAATCGGGGCCCTCTGCACCAAAGAAATCGGACCAAAAAAAGATAGTGTACACATGTCTAAAACTCTCTCTCTCTCTCTCTCTCTCTCTCTCTCTCTCTCTCTCTCTCTCTCTCTCGTGACCGGAAACATCTCGCCCAAATGTGGAAGTTTGTCTCTCCAAAGTAGCAGCAAAGAAAACGGACGAAGCTCCACCAAAGAAATTGGCTCAAAAAAATATAGTGTACACCTCTCTCTCTCTCTCTCTCTCTCTCTCTCTCTCTCTCTCTCTCTCTCTCTCTCTCTCTCTC